TTTTCTTTCATGATAGCTCTTACTCGTGATCCCTTAATATCTTAAAGAGAAGCGGTGACTTCGTTTTGTACTGTCTGATCCCTGGAGCTTTATATGTGGGAATCCAGTGAGGTCTGACATGAAGAGTTCTCCCGAGAGGATATTTATTTACCGCTGACAGTTGCCTGAGGGCCACTGAATACCACTTGCATGATTGTGTCCTTTCCGGAAAGCCTTTCTGCTCTGCTCCCATGGTTGGGACTACCAACATGCCTTTATGAGTGGTGTCCAGTTGGGTTTGCCGCATTAGGAAGGCCCCAGAGCCCCACAAACATCCAGCCTCACAGAACCATCCGGGTTCAATGTGGATCTTGTGGCCCTGTTCAAGGTGCCCAGCGGCCCCTCCAGCACTCCTTTCTCCTTTCCTGCTAAGCAAACTTACTTTATGTTGTTGAAGGCTTAATTCTGATTTTCTTTAATTGTCTTGATGGAAGTTTTCACTAAATTATTATGATTTCTCAGTTTTGACAACAGAATAATGTACATTGGTCTGACAGTAAATTTGTGTGTGTGTGCCCTGGTCCTGAGACTTGAAGTGAGGGCCTGGGAGTGGTCCCTGAGGTGTTTTTTTTTTTTTGCTCAAGACTAGTATTCTACCACTTGAGCCACAGCTCTGCTTCCAGCATTTTTGTTGGTTAGTTGGAGATAAGAGTCTTCCACGGGCTGGTTTTGAACTGAAATTCTCAGGCCTCAGCCTCCTGAGTAGCTAGGAGTTCAGGCGTGAACCACTGGTGCCAGTCAGATTTTTTTTTTTTAAGAAAACTATATCCTTAAAATATCTTTTCAGGATTGGACTTCTGATATCAACTGAGATAATACTGAGTTTTTAAAGTCTAGATTATTTTATACTTAGCAATATCATGAATGTCATCCAAAGACAAAAATCTCCATCCACAGCATGTCTGAAATTACTTTGGGGGTAGAGAGAAGGTACAGGAGATTTCAGGCCTCAGAGTTCATAAAGTCAGCAATCCTATGTGATTTAACAGCCAGCTCCAACAAAAATGGTGTCTTTAAATTTGTAGACCAGAGAGTTCGGGTAAAATGTTGAACATTACCAAATGAACATATCTAAATCTATAAAATCCAAGTGGAAATTATGATATGCATTTCTTTGGCTGTTAGAGTTACAGTAAAGAACACAATAGATACCCCCAAATCAATACAATACAGCAAAACGTCTCCTTCCCCCCACTTTTGTTGTGATAAGCCCAAAGGTGTAGAGTAAGCTCTCTTACCTGAGACCAGCTTCTGCTAGCTCACCAGGTTCTTCATTCCTCTGCCTATCAGACATTGGAAAACTGGAAACAGTCCTTAGAATGAAGAACAAGAAGTATTGGAAGCCAAGGAAGACCAGCAGATGATAATCAGAGGACTTGAGTTTTCTCCAGGGACTCTCAGAAAAGTCTGACTTGGGTTTGTAACCCAGTGCCTCTGCCCAGGGAAAGAATTTTCTGACCTCACCCACCAGATACTCCACATAAAGAAGAGCCAGGCTCCTCAGGTATGACAGCCCAGCTCACACCCACTTAATTCTCTCTGGAGAATGAGTAATCAGGTCCGAAGAGCAATGTCATTAGGGTTGACAGCAAGGAAACATAAAAGAGCAAATAATGGGATGCTGATTCCTACAGAATCAACAAGCTGTCAGAGCACCCTAATTTTCTAATGGAAACCGAGAAGCAGGCAAAACAAATTCCTATGTGCCAAGTTTTACCTTCCTGAAATTCTAGGCAATAACTGGACAGATCTACCTGATTTTGGGGTTCAGTAGGTTGTAGTATTAGAACTCAGTCAAATTCCAGGAGTCAAGAGGAAAGGGGTAGACAAATGAAGAGGGGGAGAATGTAGTCAAGACTGTAATGTAAATCCTACCAAATTAAGAAGAGCGAGGGAAAGGGTAATTAGAGGAGGGGATGGGTGAGAATATTGAAAGGGGTGATGGGGATCAAGATGTATTGGCTTCATAAACTACTTCATTACATGGCAGGCAACTCCTTTGCTGAACTACTTAAAAACCACACATACACACACAGAGAGAATGAGGTATTCAAAACTTGACAGCCCCTCCACATTTCCTACCAGACCAGATAAAAATAAACAAAAAGCTGGGATCCTCCTGAGATGTTTCTCTAGAGCTGAAAAGGGTGGATCTAGCCTTATCTGCCCCCTGTTGTTTTTGAGGTCCCCAAACTAAGACTTCCAAGTCTGGCAAGACAACTTGTGCCTAGCATTTTCTCTGGGAGGGAGGAGAAATGGAGGGAGGTCTTCTTAGTTCCCTGGGAATTTATTTGCTTTGGTCTCAGCGGGACAGCATGTCTGCCTTTCACTCCATGAACAACAATTCCAGGCATCTCCTGCCGCCATCTTGAGAGGACCTCTCCCCCACAGCTGGGTGTGGCTGGAATGGGAAGAGGTCAGCCTGACATCTGCAGGTGACCTCATACAGGGACTGGCTGCACTCGGCTTGTTAGACTGCTCCTTCCTGGGTCTTCCCTTCATCTCGCTCAGAGAAGTCGCAGATCAGGAACATCCAACACAGCCAGTACAAGGAGCATGCTAATTACATGGTATCCTCACTGTGGTGACTCAGGAAAGTGGCCAAATAGGTACTGCTAATCCCTAAATAAAGCTGCTGATTACTGCCTGGCCTATTTATTGACGTCTGTGAGTTTTAATAGAAATATGTTGTACTTCTTTTAATGAGCAGGTATGGTGAGTTCTTAAGTAACGTATTAATATTAAAGGAAGGTTTTAGACTAGTAGCCTACGATTGATTTAGGAACAATGCATTCATCTGGGCACCGGTGGCTCATGGGTGCCAACTTCAGAGGCTGAGATCTAAGGACCCTGGTTCGAAGCCTAGGCAGACAAATCCGAGAGATGCTTTCCTCCAGTTAAGCAGCGGAGGGGATTCACTGGTAACCGTAGGAGCAAACCTGATGAATTTCTGGTGTTTGAGTCACCATCTCATTTCATGCACAAAGACTTTGTGCTCCCCACTGAAGGGCCAGCCCTGTGACATTTGCATTTGTTCTCTCTTACATTGTGGTGATTTTTCCTAGAGCTCTACGGTCATTTTTTTTATTAGTCGAGTGTCTCCATAGTCCTGTGAGGTACATTTATGGGGGTGAAGCAGGTACAGATGATGAAGGAAAAGGGTTATTCTCCAAGGACACTGGAGCTCCCAGAATGCCCTGATTACAAGAGGATTCCTTCCCATTTGCCCTAGGCACCAGGAAATACAGGTCAGCCATTTCTCAAAGCAGCTTCCTTTGTGCGTTTCTGCCTTCTGTCTCCTGAAACAAAAGTAAAAGCAAGACTCCAGTGATTCTGTATTTCAATCCAGAAGCATCTCCCTGATATTTCTAAAAGCAAATTTGTAAAAGAGGTCATGAGTGCTCTGTACAGCCAGGCGCTGGTGACTCACACCTGTAATCCTAGCTACTCCGGAGGCTGAGATCTGAGGATCACAGTTTGAAGCCAGCCTGGGCAGGAAAAGTCCATGGGACTCTTCTCTCCAATTAACTAGTATTAAAAAGCCAGAAATAAAACTGTGGCTCAAGTGGTAGAGTGCTAGCTTTGAACAAAAGAAGCTCAGGGACAGCAGCCAGGCCCTGAGTTCAAGCCCCAGGACCAGGAAAACTAAAAATAAAAATAGAAATCAACAGCAAGGATAGACAATGCAAAGTATTCACTTCCATGCAAACAGAGAAGACAACAGTGCTGTAAGGACCAGGATGAGGCTTCTGCAAAGGCCCCTGGGAGGCTGAGCTTTCCCCCACGAGCTGCTGCGGGAAGCTGAGGAGAGAGTTCAGGAAGATGCTCAGGGCGTAGCCGCTGACTCAGAAAAATAAGCCCATGCTCTGCATTACACTGCAGTGAACATGGTAAGACGCCGTCAGATTTCAGAGAGGCATCCATATGCTCTCCAGAGGTACTGCCCGGGAGAGGATGGGAACAGGAGAAGGTCACTGCTAGGTCGTGGATGGTCCATAAGGTGCTGAAGAAAACCAGCCCACGTCAGTCTTCCCATAAACCTCAGTTGCTTCCATCCTCATGACTAGGGAAGGAATTTTTGTTTGTTTGTTTCTTTGTCTATTTGTGCCAGTTGGGATTTGAACTCAGGGCCTGGGCACTATCCCTGAGCTTTTCTGTTCAAGGCTAACTCTTGAGCCACAGCTCCACTTCTGGCTTTTTTGATAGCTAATTGGCGAGGAGTCCCATGGACTTTCCTGCCCTGGCTGGATTCAGACTGCAGTCATCAGATGTCAGCCTACTGAGTGGCCAGGATCACAGGTGTGAGCCATGGGTCCCCTAGTGAGAAGCCAAGCGTTCAGGCCTGCGTTCAGCCCAGAGGTATACCGGGAACCGTTGATTGGAAAACCTTCACAATTAGGTTCCAAATTCTGAAAACTCCGCCACTTTTCCCTGGGCTTTCCAAATGATTTATTAAGAAATCCTTTAACACTAAACTTAATGAATGAAAGGTAGAGTTCCTGGAGGCAAGTTTATACCTATCAGTGCCTACATCCTGGAAACATCCTGACTTTATACTTACTGGGAACAAGAAAAGGAAGAAAACAAACTGTTCCCAAACTTAGTAGAAGGAAGGAAATAAAAGATCAGGACATTAAGAAAACAAAGGCTCACCTCAGTATTATCCTACTTGTTTTAATTTTGAACATATGAATTTAGGGGAACACATTCAAATCATACCATTCATCCAAAAAGCTATTACAACTAACAAGTTTAGCAGAGTTATAGAGTATAAAATCAGCAGCCCAAGAATTAGTTCAATTCCTATATACTAACAATGACCTTTATGTAAAAGAAATTAAGAAAACAACCCAATACACACTAGCATGAAAGACTTATAATAAAAAAAGATGGAACATCTGTACATTGATTATCATAAAACAGATTAAAAACTGAAATGGACACAAATAAATGGAAATTACCTTGTGTTCATGGATTGAAAGAATTGATATTGCCCGAATATCTGTACTACCCACAGAAATCTACAGATTCAACATAATTCTTATCAAAATTCCAGTACAAAATTCTAAAGAACCATGAAATATTCCAAAGCAATATTGAGCAGAAATAATCAAGCTCGGGCATTCCATTGCATGACTTCAAAGTGTATCATAATGTCATAGCCATCAAAAATACTATGGCACTGACATAAACTAGCATATAGATCAAAGGCAGTCCTGGGCCTTGAACTCAGGTTCTGTGCTTGTCAGATAGGTGCTCTACCACTTGAGCCACACCTCCAGCCTTCTACACATTGGCTTATAGGATCTCATGTTTTTTTCCAGGGGTTCATCTCAGATGTAATTCTCCTTCTTACAATCTCCCATGCAGGTGTGCCTTCAAATCTCCAAATAAGAGTCTCATTAACTTTGCCTCATCTGGCTTCAAACCATTCTCCATCTGATCTCTAACCACAGAGAAGCTGCTATGAGCCACTGTGCCAGTCCTCAATGCTACTTTTAATGAGAGTTGTTAACGGTGCTACAGTGAGGCTTTAACTTCAAAATACAGCCAGAGAAACTCAGAATAAACCCGTTGTGGTAGCCCATCTTTTATTCGGTGGTTTGTATTTCTACCTTCTTTTACATTTCTTTTTCTTTCTCTTTGCATAAAGATCATAGTTAAGGATCTTTTCAATTTAATTCTGTACTCCAATGTAATCTTTGGTAATATTCCCTTTTGCTCCAGAACCTCACAAGTTTATATAATAAATGATGTGGTCTTTGTGGCTATAGATGCCTTTTACATGTACAGAAAGAGAAGGGGGGGAGAAAGGGGGAAGCGCCAATTACATACCAGGAAATTTACCACCTTCATCCTCACAGTGAGTGAGGGAGGTCGGGTTTTCCTTTCTTTTAGAAGACCCCAGGGCAACTCACTCCAAGCTACATAAATAGAGATCAGACCAGAAAGGCAACTTGCCCAAAGTTATACAAACAGGGTGTAAAACCAAATCCTCTAAAGGGCATGCAAGGCAACTTGTAGCAAAAATACAGAAATAGACTCCCTAAACTCCACAAAGCAGATCAGCACGCTAAACGTCTCCGGTGGCCTATATTATTCAGCACATGGCCACGAGCATCCTTTAATCACTCCGCGTTATCTTCAGCACACCTGTTGCAGACACAAAACATCAAGACTTGGATTAATCCCCAAACAGTAATGCCACCTGTGTCCCTGTCCTGAGGCTGTGTTTCCCAGGTAATAATAGCCTCGTGTGACAGTCTGCTGCTTGCTGTGAGAGTCGCGCTTGCCCTGGCGTCTCATGTAGGACGTGGGAGGTGTCGGCATTGTTTTTATCGTATTGTCCATGTCTAGCTTCCTGCTGACCCACCCGTTTGCATGACTTCTCTCCTCCCTCCTACCCAGTCTTCAAGTTCCAGTTTGGCCCTGTCTGGTCCACAGTACCAAGTCACTCCTCTGTGTTCGCTTGGTGCTTTTAGCCAATACTCAGTTGTTTAATGTTTAACTATTTTTTGCTTTACTTTTAAACATCTAGTAATTTGAGCACTCCAACTATAAATGCCCAAAGGGCACAAACTGTGATTTTTCCACTTATGTGTGTGTGAGAAACAGACAGACAGATAGACAGAGACAGAGAGAGACAGACCGACAGAGGGAGGGATAATCCTTTGTTGTATTGAAGGGTCATTGGAATTCAGTATTTACTGATTAATGATGTGGAGACCTCTGGGCAAAGAAAATATAAGTTGTATGTAACTGTTACCTGGAACTCATAAGACTAAATTTGTGGGGTACAGTGATATACTTTTGGTGTGCAAGGCCCTGGATCCAATCCTCAATTGCAATAAAAATTATTAAAAATAACTCCGGATTTTGCTGTTTTAAAGATAAGTCCATTTACAAAACGTTTGTGTTTTGTGTAAGTCTTTTACGAAGTTAAGCCATTTCGCTCATTATCTAAATTACACGAGGATACATTAAACTTGGCTAGATGAAAGATATTAACTGGTGAGGATTTTCTGCAAAAAATGCTGAAAGCCGTAAAAATTAAAAACAGGTTAGAATCTGACTGATTAACAAATAATCTTGTAATTGTTATAATGTGATGAAAGAAAGCACCTTACAGAGCTACTCCCAGGAAAAGACTTATCAATGAGTGACTTGAGAGGTGGTTTTCCCCTAAAGACATCAGACTAGCTAACCTTGTCTAGTATTAGCTTCTATACTTCTAGACTTGTCTCCTCTCCCTCCCCAACATTACCACACTTCTCATTTAATTAATCTGTTCAACAGATACGTGAGTCCTTACTTACGTACTTTGTATTGACGGAGCGTACTGACTGGGCTGGGAAAGCCAGGCCATGTTAACATAGTCTGCAAAGCATGCTTGCTGTGTGTTCCCAGGGCCGAGCAGTGCATGTCTCCAAGGTACGTCACCTTCGTGCTACCCCTCATCATACCTCGGGCTTTCCACCTGATGACTGATTTTACAGCAGATGTGAAATGGAGAGGTGGGGTGCTGGGAGCACATGCTGTGTTAAGTGGCAGCCCCCCCCCAGCTTCCCTTTGGCAGAGTGACTCCATTCAGGGTGCAGTTAATGAAATTTAGTCTGCTGTCACGTGGCTTTCATATGTGGTCATGAATCGGTGCATACCGTAATTGAGCTTTGATGTTTAAGACTTTAGTAAGCTGATGCTTCTCCCAACAGGACTTTTCCAGTACGATTAGATCGGTTCTTGTCTTCACATAGTGCTTTGTTGCTCAGCACGGGAGACCCAGCCTCACTAGCACGCTGCAGTCTCCGCCGCAAGCTGCTTTTCCTCAGTATTTCACCACGTGGCGTTGCCCTCGCCTTCCTGTTGCCTATAAGCCTGAATCTCCACCTATCCCACAACATGAACGGGGCAGCAAGCACACCTCCTTCACTCAGCGCTTCGGGGACGCCTGTGAGCCACAGCCCACAGCATCTGAGTGGATCCGTTTGTCCCTTGGACAGGCTCGGTGAAACTCAGGCATTAAGTTTTTGTTCACAAGTTGACATGGCAAAGACACTGACCGATCCCATCAACACAACAGTTAAATATGCGAAAACAAATGTACAGGACACCTGGAGTGCTCCTATCAGTGATCTGGAGAAGCAACAAGAAGATATTCAGCTCAACAGCAACTTCCTCATCAATCAGTCTCTCTTTGAAGGAAGCAAGTTATAAGCCCTAAAAGTATATTAAAATAGAAGCAAGAGGGGGTTTGCGTTCTCTAGCTTCTTTTCAAATAACAGAAAGCAGGCGCTGAGGAGGTAAAGGGAAAAGTCTTCTTGCCAGCACGCTTAGCCATGCGTTTCCTCAGGTCCCCTGGTGAGGTAAAGCTTAAGACGTTCTCTTCCTATTTCTTTACCTTTATGTCCCATAGACTTATTTGGGTCACCCACAGAATGTCCAGCATTGTGCTCCCCAAATGCCTGTCCTGTGCTTCCTCATTTCCCTGGGTTTCCTCATGACTGGTTCTTCTAGGCCAACCTGAACTAGCACTAAATTATACCCCATCACCAGTGACCACTGACTCCAGACTTCACGAGTGAGGTCTCTGAGCATGTTGCTAGAGAAATGAGCTTCTCACCCTGGCGTTTAAAGTGTCAGAAAGTGGGAGCCAGGCACTGGTGTTTCTCGCCTATTATCCTAGCTACTCAGGAGGCTGAGATCTGAGATTTGAAGGCAGCTAGGCAGGAAATTTCATGAGACTATTATCTCCAATGAACAATCCAGCCCTCCCCCCCCAAAAAAACACAATCTGGAAGTGGAGCTGTGGCTCAACTGGTAGAGTGAGCAGAAAAAAAGGCTTAAGGACATTGCCCAGGCCCTGTGTTCAAGTCCCAGTACAGGGACAAAAAAAAAGTAAGAAAGTAGTAAAATGAGGAATACCATTTTTTTCCTTTTGTTTTTTAACTTGGATTTGAACTCAGTGCCTCGAACTTGCTTGGTGGGTACTTTTCCACATGAACCACATGGTTGACTCTGGGAGTCTCTGGGAGACTCATTTAATTATAGAAGAAAAGTCAAAACACATCTCTACCCCAGCTCCCCCCCCCCCCCCCCCCCCCCCCCCCCCCCCCCCCCCCCCCCTCTGCACTAACTGCAAAGAGGAAAATTGAAACACACACACACACACACACACACACAACTGGGAAAACATATGCCACAGTGCAAAAGGAGAACTCTTGACAACAGAAAACAGAAGTAATCTGGCCCAAGAAAGCTCAAACCTAAACGAGTATGCCACAGAGAGGGCCAACAATGTCAGCCACAGCTCTGTGGAAAGACAAAAGGCTTAGAGGAACAGCAGGTTCTTCTGAAGAAAGAAAAAAAATTAAGTGGAATCTTTATGCACATCCCTTCCTCCCAGGCACCAGGTAACTACGAGTTCCTGGCTCAAGATGAACTGACCTTCTATAAGGCCATCTATCTATAGAAATTCATATATATTAGGCCTAGTAGATCTAGGAGAGGAGAAAAGGAGATCAGGAGAGACGGACCAGTCTTAAAAAGAGAATCAGGAACGTTGACAGACTGATGCTACCCCTTTCCCCAAAGCACTAGCAAACAGTTAACTTCCATGCAAAGAAAAGAAAGGCTCTTCTCTAGGAAAAATGATTGGCTCAAGAGAAAAGAGCTCCAGGGGGGCTGGGAAGGTGGCTCAGTGGTAGAGTGCTTGCCTTGCATGCATGAGGCCCTGGGTTCGATTCCTCAGCACCACATAAGAAAAAAGAAAAAAAAGCCGGAAGTGGTGCTGTGGCTCAAGAGGTAGAGCGCTAGCCTTGAACTGAAGAGCTGAGGGACAGCGCCCAGGCCCAGAGTTCAGGCCCCACGACCAGACCCCCCAAAAAAAAGAGAGAGAAAAGAGCTTCAGTTCTGGACCCACAAAGCATCCTTGTGAGAGTGTCCCCAGGTAACAAGCTCTCGCCATTACACAGCACTGCTGGTTAGCTCCCAAGTTCTCACACTTGTGCAAGGATGACAAAAATCGTAGTAACTGGAAAACAAAGATCACCCAAACATTTTGAAAAAAAGAAATCTAACCTAAGAGAGCCACGTAAACAAAGAAAAAAGAGAAACAAACAGGAAAAAAATCTTCAATTCTTCTACTGCCAACTTACTGATGTTCTGAAATGGAAAAACAAGACTTTTTAAAAATAGGAACCATCGGAAAATAAGAAAGAGCTCTTAGAAGTAAACAATATTGGAAATAAAATAAGATGGGAATCTCAAATTGTATTTGAGAATGAAGTTTCTAGCTGGCAGATAAAGTCAGAACAGGAAGAGAAGAGAAAACCAGGTTATAAGCCTGGGAGATCTAAGATCTAAGAGAGGGAATAAAAACGGAGAGAAGAAAGGCATGGGACGTCAGATGGAGAGTCCACTCCAATTTCCGTGAGAATACAGCAAGAATACAGCAATTCACAGAACACCTGGGATGATGTGAAGATCCTAAAAGCTTCCAGGGATTAAAAAGCAAACAAATAATGCCACAAGCAAAGGACAAACTCACCAGGTGCTGATGGCTCACACCTGTCATCCTAGCTACTCAAGAGGCTGAGATCTGAGGAACCTGATTCAAAGTCAGCCCAGGCAAGAAAGTCCATGAGACTCTTATCTCCAATTAACCACCAAAGAACCAGAAGTGGAGCTGTGGCTCAAAGTGGTAGAGCACTAGCCTTGAGCAAAAGAGCTGAGGAATAGCACCCAGGCCCTGAATTCAAGCCTCACAACCAACAGAAAGAAAAGAAAGGAAAAAAGGAAGAAAGAAAGAAAGAAAAGAAAGAAAGAAAAGAAAGGAAGAAAGATGGGCTGGGAAGGTGGCTCAGTGGTAGAGCGCTTGCCTTGAAGCAATAAGCCCCGGGGTCAATTCCTCAGCACCATATAAGCAAAAAGAAAAAAAGCCGGAAGTGGCGCTGTGGCTCAAGTGGTAGAGCACTAGCCTTGAGCTGAAGAGCTGAGGGACAGCGCCCAGGCCCAGAGTTCAGGCCCCACGACTGGACCCCCCAAAAAAAATACAGAGAGAAAGAGAGAGAGAGAAAAAAGGGAAGGAAGGAAGGAAGGGAGGAAGAAAGGGAGGGAGGGAGGGAGGGAGGGAGGGACAAAAATCCCTCCCTTCTATGGAAATTCAAAGGCCACAGAATTTTGTTTTCAAAATGACTTTTAATTTTTCATATTCTGTGTCCCGCCAAGTGTGATAGAATAAAGCGAGGAGACACAGAGCAGGCTGAGCCTCTCTGTGCAATGTCTCCAGCAGTCACACGAAGCTGACAGCAGGGCTAGCACGGGGGCCAGGCTCTCAAGGAGACTCAGCTGAA